TATTACGATATCCATCATGAAGTACCTTCTTGTCAAATTTCCAAGGCCGTCCTAACAACACATGACAAGCTTGCATCGGGGCTACGTCACTCCTCACTTTGTCTTTGTAGCCTTGAATCTTAAACTTCAAATCCACTTGTTTGAGAACATTGATCTCGCCACAGTTTTTCAACCATTGTAACTTATACGGCTTCGGATGAACATGGGTTTTCAAACCCAACTTCTTTACTGCAAGGTCACTCATAACATTAGTGCAACTACCTCTATCAATGATCAAGCTACATACCTTTTTTCCCACCTTGCATCTTCCATGGAATAAGTTCTCCCATTGCTCCGTGTCCTCGACACCTTTGGGCAAGGTACTTAGAGCTTGCAAGGTCACCAACGTCTGTTCACTATTGGTTATGAACTCATCTTCCTCCGGATTGATCTATTCGGTCTCCTCCATGTCCTCATCGGATTCGGATTTGTAATCTCCGGTGGACAGGATGATCATGGTCCTCTTGTTAGGACATTGATTGGCAAAATGTGTTCATCCTTGACACTTAAAACAAAATAACTCACGAGTGCGAGTAGTGGATCCATTATTTGGAGAAGATGTCGTACCCTTTGAGTGTGACGATGCAGGAATGGTGGATTCTTTTCCCTTACTTGTTGTTGAGAGAGTTTACGGCTTTGACACGTTTGTCAACTGTGACGTCCTTTGATGTATATGCTCTTTATACTTTTTCTTCAATTGTCTCTCCAATTTGATGGTTTGGTGTACCATTTCCTCAAAATCCACGTACTAATACATCTCTAAAATATCAGCAATTTCTTGATTAAGCCCATTGAAGAAACGGGCCATAATACGTTCAGGATCATCGTTAACATCAGCTTGCTTCAGCAACATCTATAACTCCTTGTGGTATTCATCCACCGTTCTTGATCCTTGCTTCAAACCTTCCAACTGCCTTAATACCTCACGGTGATGATGTGACGGCAAGAAGTCCCTCCGCATGAGTCCTCACAACTCATTCCAAGTGAGCACGGGAGGCTCTCCACGTCTACGTTATGAGAGGTTGGTCTGGTCCCACCATGATAAAGTATAGTCAGAGAACTCCATGATAGCAACACGTAAGTTTTGTTGCTCTGAAAGTTGTTGCACGTAGAAAATCAACTCCATCTTACGGTCCTATTCTAGAAAGGCCTCGGGATCATATTTTCCATTGAATGGCGGAACTTGGAACTTAACGAGTGGCGCAACCTCATCATCTGATCTTCTTCGGGGGTTATTTGGCCTCCGTCGTGGGAGTTCATCATTGAACTCTTCTTCTTCATCCTCATATTCACGCTCGTACCTCCTTGGTTCACGGAGGTTACGTCGGGAAGCTTGTACTTCTCTTCGAAGGGCGTTATTTCTAACTCCCCCTTCACTAACACCTTCCTCGTCAATGGCTTCAGAACCATGTGGAGTTCCTTGCCGCTGTTGGTTAAACTACAACCTATCCATGCGGTCATTAAGCACCTCAAGTGTAGAATGGTGTAACTCATTCACTTGCTTCATCACCAAGTTTAAGAGGTTTTGAACATCTACATTTTGAATCCATGTGTCTTCCTCTCCTACCATTAGGAAAAATAATATGGAAATATTAGTATAGATTAGTTAGAAAAGAAGGTCTCACAACTCTTGTGTTTCACTCCTCATGTATTGTACCTCTCCGTCTTGCACAAAGCACAAATTAGATTGGTGGAATGTTTCTAAAGTTGTGACAAAAGAATCAAGAGAGTGAAAGCAACTACGAAAAACTCAAATGAAATTGAAAAATAAAAGAAAACAAAAAAATGCGTTATGATGGAAAATGCGGAAGCTATAATAGAACAAACAAACAAGTGTGCTGTTTTTTTATTAGCACAAGCTTTTGTAATTTTTTTTCTTTGCAGATTTTTTTTAGAGGAAAAGAATAACACTCAAGTCTAGAAACTCGAGCTAACTAGCTCTGATACTAAAATGACGTAACCCGCGTGGGTTCGTATATTTTTTCCCAAGTTGAAGAAGAATAACCTTAATCAATGTAAAGAATTTGAGAAAGAAAATAGATAAGATAGAGAAGAAATTTGCTACCCAACCTAGTTGATTAAGAACCTCAAGAATTCAATCTTGGATCCAAAATCGTAACTATGAAAAATGAACAAATCGATAGGCTTAATTCCTCAACAAGAATTTAGAAGCCACAAACCAATAGATAATTCCAAAAACCTGATTTGAAGACAATGCGCAAGGAATCACTCACTCAAACTTTGAAAGTAAACACAATGAAAAATACAAGTTTTCAAAGGAAGAGAAATATATTGTGACAAAAGTTGATATAAAAATGGATACAATAGCCTATATATAGACCAAATAGAGGGGACAAAGCACTTACTACAATTAAATTGGCAAGATATTCTCATAGAGAACATATTTCAATATACATAATTGCTACAGGTTCCCAAAAGCATATTACCAATATCACAATAATGACAACACATTCCCAAAAAAATATATTTTCAAGATTGTAACTAATAGTAGTACATTCCCAAAAAGTTATGTAAGCAATTATGTCAATGCTATGATGTAAACAATGGCATCATCACATGTCTTCAATTATTTTGATTTGTATAACCGTTAAGCTCGGGCCGATAGGTCTCCAAGCTTCATCTTTGTTTATATTCTTCATCTCAAGCTCTCGGATTAAGCCGGAAAAGCGATCTTAATGTTTACGAGCTCGGCTTCGGGTAATTGGTCCAAGTGGTTCGAGAGGCTTTTGGACGTCCATGTCACCTTCGTTACTTTTTGGGGCTTGATATCTCTGATTCTCCCAATGGTTTCTTTTTGTCTCAGGCTAAGTATGCCTCTGATCTTCTTGCTCGAGCTAGTCTCACAGACTGTCAGGTAGCCTCCACACCACTTGCCTACGACGTTCGACTTACCCCTCATGAGGGCTCTCTTCTTGATGATCATACCCTCTACCGTCAGCTTGTTGGATGCTTGATCTACTTGACTGTCACTCGACCAGATATTGCTCATGCAGTCCATATTGTGAGTCAGTTCATAGCCGCTCCGAGGACCTCTCACCACTCTTCTGTCTTATATATTCTTTGTTATGTGAAAGGTACTCTTATGCATGGCTTACACTTCTCCTCTCACTCGTCCTTGACTCTCAACGGTTACTCTGATGCTGATTGGGCTAGTGATCCCGCCGATCGTTGTTCGACCACTAGTGTCTACTTCTTCCTGGGTGATGCTCTCATCGCTTGGCGCAACAAGGAGCCGACTTTAATTCTCGCTCGAATGTCGAGTCAAAGTATCGTGCTATTGCTAACTCTACTTCAAAACTTTTATGGCTTCGTCGAGTACTCATTGATTTTGATAATTTGATATTTTTCATCCATAAATTCGGTATATCAAATTATTGATATAGTATTGTGATGGTAAAATATCAAACCAAAATTTTTTATACATTAAACGATTTACGATATAAATTTGGTATGTCATAAGAAACCATTTATATCAACAACCAAATTCGATAAATTTGATGTATTGTATATTTTAAATTTTTTATAATTATAATATTTATTGTGCTAATTTTATTAAATTATTAAAGTCAATTTATGTTTTTATTATCTAATTGCATATATTGATTTATAATCTATACAATAATTATTTTAAAAAATAATTTCAGTAAATCAAATAGTTAATATTAAAAATTAGAACAAAAAATATTTTAATATTTTATCAAATAAAAAAAAATTAAAACAATATTTTATTACTTAATCTAACTAATTAACTACATAATACAATAATTCTTAATATGTATGCCAAAAAAAAAAAAAAAGACCAATTTCATGGGACAAAGAGGTATGCATTTTAAGTTTAATATAAAACATAATGAAAAAAAAAACGAAAATAATTTTATAGTAAGATAAAGACTATATTTAGGCCTATTTGAATTAGTTTAAATAATACACAGAAAAAAAAAAAAAAAAAAAAAAAAAAAAAAAAAAGAGAGAGAATAATAAGTTAACAATTAAAGATTTGGATAAATTGTTATAAAAGTAACTTTTTGAAAAAAAAAAATATATATTCTTTGAATATAATAAAATAAAAAATTCTTTTAAATTGTAACAATATTTAAAATGACATATTGTAATCTAATTATATATTTTTTTATAGTACATTTATAATTTATTTTACATTATATTAATTATTTCTAATAATTTTGAGTTTATAATTTAGTATTTAAATTATAATTTTAAAATTTAATTTAAATATGATGTATAGAATAAAAATAAAATTATATTTTCAATTTTTAATTAATATAGAAAATAATTGTTTTTATATTATATTATAATTAATATTATGCATATTTTCAAAAAGCTATTTTGATTTTGAATTTGTAAATGATTTTTTAATCAAATATTTCACACTACTAGATATCTCGTTCGTATACATCTTTTTGCTTTCCGAGCCTCCATTGAGTTCATGTAATTGGATAATTGATTTGAAATAGATAGAAATAAAAAATAGAATAGTACATCCTACATCCTCCCTCCGTCCACTTATAATGTTTACATTTACTTTTGACTCGATATTTAAGAAATAATAGTATTTTAATTACAGTGAGTAGTTAAAAGTAGTATAATGACATTTTTGTCCTTACTTTTTTTGGTAAAGGTAATGATGTAATATAAATCAATGGTATTTGTGAAAAAAAGTAAAATATTTAATGAAATATTAACTTTGTAATTGGACGTCCCGAAATAAAAATATATAAACATTGTAAATGGACTGAGGAAGTACTAAATATAATAATTTAAAAATTAAGTAATATAATGAAAAAAATATATATATTTATTTTTTTATTTGAATAATATAATGAAATAAAATATGAAATAGAAATTAAATATATTTAATTATTTTTATTTTAAAAATATTGCAAAAAATTTGAAACAGGTAAAAAAAAAATAAAATAAAAATAAAATGTTGCATGGTATTTGAGAATAGATATGAAAAGAAAAGGATAATATTTGGTGAACAAAATAAGGAAGATTTTGGGCTGGAAATGAAGCCAAAATAAAATTATAATACATGTATGGTTATGCGCAGGAGCTGGAGCTGGAGCTGGGGTTGGGGCGGTAGTAGCTAAGTTTAGTTTAGCGTTTGATCAAAACACAACCGATGAAGAGGACGACGACAAGACTGTATTCTATATAATCTATAATCTATAAGCTATGATCTGAAGTGAGTAATTAATTAATTAAGGGTAAGGGTAAGGGTGTGTTTGTTTGGGGACAGACAGTGAGCGAGTGAGTCAGTCAAAGGGACGGGGAATAAGACCGAGAGAGGAAGAGAGCGGAGTAGGGCGGGTGGACATTATTATTATTATTTCGGCAACCACATTCCTGACAAACCAGTGGAGGCAAGATGGGCACTGACCTGCCATCGTCATAGGAGCCTCGGCCTCCTCCTCTCTAGTATTATTTGTGGCTTGGCGGTGGCGGCACTGGCACATCAAGGGACGTGCCCTCACAGGACATACTTCATTCCGCCGGTGCTCAATCCCAAATGCAGCTAGAATGGTGTGTGTGGACGCCCTTGCAATCTGCTTGAACCCCATGTACCCTAACCCTAATCCTGTATCCCCATTTCCATTTCCATTTCCATTTCTGGACAACCTTTTTAACTCACTCCTAACCATCCACTGCACCTGTGCCTTCTTTTCTAATGAACAACTCATAGTAGTAGTACTAGTAGCAGTAGTAGTAGCACCCTGCACCTCTCTTCTTCTCCTATGATGATATGATGAGAATAATCCACCAGCAGGTTTACAAGGCCTTCGCCGCCACACCCCATACTCTGAATTGGAACTGGAAATGTTCAGTCCAGTTCCACCAAAGGAGTAGTAATAGTTGCCTGATGATGATGATGGTATAGAAGCTGCTGCTGCTGCTTCATGGGGAAGCATACCATGGTTCAACATCAGAGACGGGAGAGGGACAGGGACTTGTCTCTGACTCTGATGATACCCATACCCATACCCATACCATGGAGGAGGAATTTCCGTAGAAGAAGCATTGGTCAGCAACATTTGAGGGTGAGGGTGAGGGTGACGTGTGTTGAGTGGTGCTACTGGCGCAGGGGCATCAACCCCTTCTTGAGGTAAAGCTACTCCATCGCCAAAAACACCATCATCACTCCTCCTAGCCCTGCTGCTGCAATTCGGAATCTGATGATGGTGAATCTGGCGCTGCTGTATGCTCCTCCGTCTTTGATGCAGTGTAAAAACCCCAACCCCAACCCCTGATCCAGAAGCAGTAGGAGGCTGCTCTGGAATTGGAATATCATCTGCATCTCCATCTCCACTACAAGGAGGTTTACTGTTAGTGGATGGGGAGTAGTAGTAGTCTCCCTGTCCCATTACTAGACTTCTTGATGATGATGATGATGACCCTACTGCCAAATTGGGAGTTGGATTCGGAGCTGCTGCTGCTGTGGGCTTGCAACCATCGCAATACCAATTTCCTTCAGGCACTTCATGTCCAAGGCCAATGCAGTAAGTATGCGCAGGCGAATCGCAGACGTCGCAAAGAAGCATAAGTGCATCGTCTCCTCCTTGATCACACTCCGTGCAGACAACATTCTCATATGGATCCAGGAATGCCCTGAGCTCTTCCTCGCTTGGTTCATAAACCTGTAGAAAATAATACTCACTAATATTAATATTAGCAAAATACTGCTACAACTACAAGTATAATAATAACCCTTAAGAGATATCTAATTTAAGGGTTTTGATAGATAGAATGAATTCCAGCTACCTGATCCCGCATGGCGACTTGGATAACTGCATCCCTAGAGCCATCTGCCCCCCGTCTAGTCGTCGTCCTACTGATGGTTGAAAACCTTTGCTTGCAGAGTGGACACCGAGATTCCACCTTCGACCACTCTATGATGCAACCAAAACAAAAGTGATGGCTGCAGCAATCTAATATTCCCCTCATACTTCTCTTTCCCTCCTCAGATAGACAAATGCCACACGCTGGCTTCCCTGCTGCTGCTGCTTCCATCATCTCCGGATCAACTACCTTGCCCTTTTTCCTTTGTCCTGGCATAGTTTTTTCATCTTCAATCATCTTCACAGGATTCAAAGATATCAAATCAGAGGTTTCTCTCTTTTCCCGCCAGGTTGTAGGGTTGTCATCTGCAAAATCCTTAGTTTTGCATCTGCCTCTTCTCGGTGAAGCTTTTGGCCTTGTCAGTTTCCTTCTTTTGTTCCTCTTGAAAGCCTTTGCATTCCTCTTCCTCTTTCCTCCACCAGAAGTCTCAGTCTCCCTCACACTCTGTTCATCCATCTTATTCTTCTTGGCAACCAGCACCTTTTCCTCGTCGTCAACACCATCAATCTCACATGGCATAAATTCCTCATCATCCGAAATTGTATAGTCACTATCTAGTAGCATTTCTTCTTTGTAAGAAACTTTAGCTTTCTTCCTAGGCTCCTCCTCATCACAAGCATCCACATTTAGTTTGGTAGACGAAGCACTAGTCTTCCTTTTCAAACCATTTCCTTCCATAACATAAATGCCATCAAATTTGCCTTCTCTCCCATTGTTCACTCGGGTAGCCTTAGAAAATGCTGCTGCTTCTTCGTTGTAAATGTCCCTTCTCTTTCTCCCACTCCTCTTTGTTCGATGCAAAGTCGGGCGTCCTCTTGATTTTCCACCTGCTTTAGTCCCTTTCTTCACCAGCTTCTCCACCTCTTCATCTTCCTCCAATTCCTCATCAGCAAGCGAGTAACAATATTCATCTTCCGACTCATCAAACTCCTTGTCTTTTTCTCCAACCATGTAATCCTTGTCTGACTCTTCCAAACCCCTCTTCTCCTTACCCACCATATTTGTAGTCTTGCACTTGCTTCCGTTGTTCCCTCCCCTTGCCATCTGCCCTGGCCAGCACTCAACAAATTTGGTGAAAGAAACCCGTTAGTATTTCAAGTGAACTAAACTCATAAAAATCAACGTGGAAGCCATTCTACAACCATGGACAAATTGCCAGCAATCTGAAATGGCAACTAGATTATTTTCCACATTTGATTGCAATATCATCGAATTCTCATTTCCGTATAAACCTCAATCAACCAAACTAAATCAGGAAAATGTTAAAAAGGAAAAGTAGGAAAACTAAGCAAATCAGCTGCCAAAATGTTCCATCTACAAAACTCCATTGGACGCCCCATTCCAAACGTTCCAATATTGACCTGAATTGCCCTAGAAAACAAGAAGGCCCCAGATAGAACCCTAGATAGCGATAAAAGAACAACACGACTTCAGTTTCAAAATTTCAGCAATTCACGTAATTGCAACCGAACCACCCAAGCTCAGTTCGCGGAACACCTTTAAAACGAAACCGACTTGACAGGAACAAATTATAGCAACTCTCGGAAAATTCCCGCAATAACGGCAACTAGAACAACCACCCAAAAGAACACAGAAAGAAGTCGAACGAAAATCAGTACATAAAACTGAAAATGAAGACACGAATCAATAAAAAATCAACAAAAATTCCGTTGGAGACGAGAGGAAGAGAGAGAAGCCAATTTCAAACCTGTGCAGCCGTTCGTGAGTGACAAAGAAGCTAATTCCGCTTCGACTTAGCTTTCCTTGGTTGCCTCTCCAACGACGCACACAATCACAACCAATGAAACACAGAAAACAAGAACTACTGTTGTATTTGTTAAACGAATGTAAGTAATACAAATAGACGACACATACAGACGTCTAACATAGATTATATAGTGCTACTATGCAATTACAAAAAGGCCACTCTCTCCCGGGGCTGGCTAGCTCGTTAGAATAAAAAAAATTGCTATAAGATCATCGCAGCGTAGATGTCTCAATTATTTTTCACTTTTTACACCACTTCTTTTCTTTTCACCATATTAGACTATCCGAAATGGGTATATCAGTTTTTGGAATCTCCATTATTTTTCTTATTCAGGTCGGTTTCTTTCTCTGCTACGTCAGCGTAAATACTCTCTTCAATTTTATATTCTCAATTCATCCTAATTTTTTAATAAATTTTTATTTTTATATTATTTTTTAATTATAGTTTTAATTTTTAGTATTAATTATTATATTATATTATTATTTGTCAATATTTCAATTTATTAAAAATTATGAAAAAAAAATTATATTATTTATGATTTAAAATTAAATTTAGTTTTAATTTATTTTTAAATTTTAATTTTAATATTTAATTTGTATTTTTATTGTTATAATTATTATTGATTAATTAAAAAATAAAATATAAAAATAATAATTAAATTTTTTGAAGAAAAAATTATATTATATTACATTACATTGCAATTACAATAGAAATATTTAAAATCAAAATAAGAACAAATAATTTAATTATTATTCATCGAATCAAATTATATGTATTTTGTTCTATGTTATTCAAATTATCTTGTCTTTTATTTTATATTAATATCTTATTCTTAATTATTTATGTATAGTTAATTATAAACTAAATATATTTATTGTTTAATATAATTTTATATTATTTAATTGTGTTAAAATTTATAATTATATTTTATTTAATAAATTAAATTAAATTTATTAATATTTATTTTTTTAATAGAATTATATAATATTTGTATTTATATATTTTAAATTTCAAATTGATAAGATATATTCAATATTGGTATCATTTCGTAGAATACAAAATATTATGAATTATAAAAATACTACAAAATTTAAATATAACAATAAATTCAATATAAATTAAAAAAACAAAACATATATAATATATTATATATATACATATATATACCTAAGTGTCAAGTGTGCCAATTAAATTGAGATACATGGCAATGGAATCGCACCTTCCCAGCATCTCCGAAGCACGGTTTTATTAATTTTTTTTTTTAAAAAAAATGATGATGTGGCGCATCTCCGAAGCACGGTTCCGGAGGAGATGCGCCATTGCGGATGCTCTTAGGGCTGTCAAACGGGTTAACTTGAATTTAACATTTAATTAAACGGGTTATATTTGAAATCTTAATGTGACGATTTTACTAATGGGTTAACTTAAATTTGACATTTATAGCATATTTAAGTCTAAAATTTTTAAATTTTAATTTAAAATTAAAATTTTTACTAACAAAATTTTTAAATGCATAATACATATATTAAAGTAAAAACTATTTATTCATATTATTAAAATTGATATTTCAAGAGTCCAATTAACAAACAATATGTGATAGTACACAACAAAATCATTTTTTTTATTCTAATTTTGTAGAATTTTAGTTTAAATTTTATTTTAATTTATTTTTATAAAATTGACCATGAATATTTGAATTGAATTGATAAAATTTTTAAAATATATTTAAATTTAAAATAATATTAATTAAACCGGTTACACGGTTATTTTAGGTTGAAAATTTGAATTTAAACCTGACATATTTAATTAACTAAATTAAAAGAATTTGACCCAATTATTAATTGGATCAAAAATTTCAACCAAAACCCAATTATTCTGAATGAAATTCAAGTTTGGTAATCAGGTGGAGCCAATTTTTGGTTGCCCTAACCACATCACTATAGATAACTAATTTCTATTTTATATGAAAATAAAGAAACTTAATCTAATTTTTTTAATTAATTTTTATTCTCGTATATATACATATTATTTTTTATTTATAATTAAATGATAAATTTTTTATCAATATTTTGATTTATTAATAATCTATTGAAATAAAAAAATATATTATTTATTATTTAATTAAGTTTATTTTTAATTTTATTATGAAATTATTTTGTTATTGTTAATTTTTTTTAATAATTTAATTATTGATATTTATATATTATAAATTTAAATTAATAAAATATATTCAATATTAATATCATTTTTTAAAATAACTTTTTTATATAAATTTTTAAAAAATTAAAAAAATTAAAATATAATAATATATTAATATAAATTAACGAAATAATTCATATACATATCATATACTCCCGTCGTCTCATAAGAGATGCCTTGTTGAAAATTAATACAAAATTAAAGAATAATAATATTTAATTAAAAAATAAATATAAAGTAAAATTTAAAATCTAAAATGTCTAAGGAGTGTATATATATATATATATATATATATTATGCATATGCCATGTGTCCCATTTAGCAAAAACCAAACATCTCCCATGCATTTCTGGAGATGCTTGGATGATGATATCTTCATTTTTTGTGGGTTTTTTTTTTTTGTTTAAATGTTGAGGTGGCGGATTGTAGAGATGCCCTAAGTTTCTTTTGCTATTTTTTTTTTATATATATATTTTATTCTCCATATATCATGTTTATTTTTTTATTTTGTTAAGTTTCATTTATTTTTTCAATTTTTAAAAAAGAATTATTAATTTTAATTTTATTTATAATTTTTTTATTATAAGCAAACTAACTAATTATTTTAATATTAATTTATATTTATTTTTAATATACAATAATTATTTTTATTAATAAAATTTTAATTATTTATTAATTATATTACTTTTAAATTCATATGTTTATAATAAAGTGGACATGATATCAGAAATAAAAAAGAGTATTATTTAGATGTTATAATTTTTCTCTTTAATATTATTTTTTATAATTCTCTAAATAGGAGTATTATGTTAATACTAAATTTTCAAATCCACAATGAAACAAAGTACTATTTTTATTTTTAAAATCATATATTTTTTTATTTCTTTTTATTTTTTTACTATAAAATATATAAAATAAAAAAATATATATTATATTCTTTACATTTCATTCCATTACAAATGATTCATTTTTTTCTTTCTTGTTCTTTTCACAAAAGATGATTATTTTTTATTTTTGATAAATTTATCAATCTTAAACGCATTTAACAAATACAAATAAATTTAATTAAATTACACTTTTACATGTAGGACCACTAAAAAATCCTTTATTTATATTTCTCTTCTCACTTAACAAATACTTTTATTTACATTTAAAATATTTATTTTTATTTAAAAAAAACTAATTTATAGTAATGATAATATATAAATACACCCCCAGTTCCATATTTACCTATTCGTTTAATGATAATACATAAATACACCCCCAGTTCCATATTTACCTATTCAGTTGCTTTTTCACGAAGTTTTAGAGATATTAGTCTTATATTAGATGTAGTACAAATAAAAGTAAAAAAACTAACTAGCTTTATTAGTATGGTATGGTATAAATGTAACGATATTTGAATAATATATTGTAAATTTAAGGATATTTGTAATATTAGATATATAATACAGTTTCTAAAAAAAAATAAATACTTTATTATGGGACGAATTAAAATAAAAAAATAGATAATTTATTTAGAAACATAAGATATATATTTTTTGTTTATTTGCATTATATTAAATTTTATTTTCTATAAAATAATATTTATATTTTATTGATATATAATGTTAAAATTATTTAAATACAGATTTTAAATTTGTTTTAATCATATATAGGGTGTGTTTGTTTGGGGGTTTGGATTTTGAGTTGTGATTTGAATAGTAAAAATTTTGAATTTGAATAATTGTACGATGTGATATAAATAGGTGTTGATGTGATATTTTGAATGTAAAATTGATTTTTAGTATAATATAAAAAATGAAAAATAAGTGTTTGATTTGATGTTTTTGGGAGGAAAAAATTGAATGAATAGTAAAATTTTGCACAAATCTTACAACCGAACACACCCATAATATACTTTCATTACACACAATTATCTAAATAACTAATAACACTATCTAAATAACTAATTTATATAACTTAAACTCTCGTGCCCAAACAAAAATTATCACGGACAAAGAGAGGATTATAATTTACATAAAAAAAAAAAAAAAACAAATAAATCTATTTTTGGACGCATGAATGAATAATAATAGTAAATCCAATTCCAATTCCAATTCCAATACTAGCGAGACAGGCGCAGAGCAGAGCAGGTATTCCACCTTTTGGTTAATGAAAGAGAAGGCTCGGGCAATGCCCAAGTAGCGCCTTGCTGGCTGCCAGCATGCAATAGTATGTATTTCAAATTCATTTCTGGAGAATTATTATTATTATTATTATTTTATTATTATTATTATTGAAAATTGCCAATTATTGAATGTAAATTGTGCACGTAGTCGGAACGTGTAACTTTGGTAAATTTATAGTTCGGTGTGATACTGCTGACAGTAGTCGGCAGTGGACAGAGCCGCCGTGAAAGAAAAGGCGGTGACGTCTAAGTCTGGACTGGCCGACTTGTTCTGCTGTGAGCATTGCAAGCTGGCGGCGTGCGGTGCTTGCTTCACAGTTCACACCATTTTCTCACTCTAAACCCGCCTCTATTCTCTCTCCTTCTTATTTTATTTATTATTTATTATTTTTTAGATCTAGGTTTAAATAGTAAAAATTTTGAATTTAAAAAGTTATATGATGTGATATAAATAGGTATTGATGTAATATTTTGAATGTAAAATTGATTTTTAGTATAATACTTTCTCCGTCTCTTAACAATCTATCCATTTTTTCATTTTGATTCGTCTCGTAACAAAGTATTCGTATCCATTTTTAGTAATTGTACTATCTACCTAACATTACAAATACCCTTCCAATTTACAATATATTACACAAATATCATTATCTTTATATCATACAATACTAATAGGGTTAATTTAGTCTTTATATATTTATTTTTAGTTTATTCTAATATAATACTAATATTTCTAAAACTTCGTACAAAAAACAAATAGATATATAGAAATGGGGTGGATGAAGTATAAAAAATAAAAAAATAGGTGTT